CCACCAGCCCAGGGGTGGCACTGCCCACATACATCAATTAGCAATCCAGACAATGCCCCATAGGCATTGCCACAGGCCAATCTGGTGGTAATTCCTCAACTGAGGTTCTCTCTTCCTGGGTGTGTCAACAAGAATAGTTATCACAAGAATCATACAGGAAAACATTTTTTAACATGCTTTAATTTCCTTTGAATATTCTGGTCATTCAATTTCCATGGTCAAAACATGTTTAGAAGTCACTTATCCATATAACCTGTAAGGCCATGTCTAGATATTTACGCACAAGTAATTGATAGGATTTAATAAGTAACCTAATATGAGAGCAAAGGGATGCCTTGCACTGCTTAGGTTTTGAGGCTGGTTGTCCTGGATTCACAAGTTGCGTGTAACTGGCAGCCAGCCAGTAAGTACTTGTTTAATGAATGAATCAGGGAAACAGGAAGAGGGAGCACGTTTTGTGAGAAGAGTCAGATTTGATGTTGGATATATGCGTTTCCCAATGAACAATGAAATTCTTTGTCTTCTGGGACTCTCAACAGCACTCTCCCCTTTCCTGCCTTAAGCGGGTGTCTGTCCTTGTCACTGCCATTTGGACCAATAGAATGACTCTCTCTTCCTGGAGGAACAGCAAGATTTTTCTCTGAAGCATTACCCTCCCCACTATGTGGTCTCACTGGGATTATAAATCAGGTCCTACCCTAAACCAAGACAAAAGGGAGACTCTCCTTGACTTTGAAATTGTGAGCAGTGTGTCCTAAGCACAGAGGAATCCACCATGTTCATCCATCCTTACAGTGGCAGCTTATATCCATTCCTGCTTCCTAGACCCTTAGTGGTCCTGGCTTTTGCTCTTTTCCCTTTGTTCTCAACCCTCCTTATCAGTTCTAGGAACCGCTGAGTAACCTAATAAATCTGTCTTCTACAAGTCCCTTCAATACCTGGTACTTGCAAACAGATGAACAAAAATATTAAGTGGTTCTTAATGTGCCAGCTGCCTTGAGTCACTGCAGAAGAGCTCCCGCTGCCGGCTCCATAATCTTCCACTCCAGCTCCGGCACTGGGAAGGTGTGTGTTGGTGCTACAGGCAGTTCTGCAATCAGTACTGCAGAAACGAAGGGGAGGAAGGATGAATGGGGAGAGGGACCCTTTTCTTAATGGAACTCATAACTGTGAAGACTCAAGATAATTCTGATCACAATGTTTTCTTAGTTGTATATAATCACAACAGGTTATTGGGTACAACATCTATCTTGAGCTCTATAATTTAATACCATCAAAAGATTAAGGAGACATCTCCCCTGTGGGGAGTAATTCAAAGCTACAATTACATTATTGGTCTTAAATCACTCCTTACATATTACATTTTGAGAGGTAGGACCTTTGGGTATTCATTTTAACTATCTGCCTTGTCAAAAATACAGAATATTGTTGAGTTGACTGGTTGAAAACTTTGGCCTTTATCCCTCAAACAAGTGCTGAAGAAAAACAAATCAAAATCCAGTGTTCTGTGGTTGATATATTATGCACCCCAATAAAATTATCTGGGGATCAGAGAACAAAACAGCCACTATATTAAACATAGAGGTTAGGCAGTGGTAGCACACAACTTTAATCCTAGCATTCTGGAGAAAGAGATCCATGTGGATCTCTGTGAGTTCAAGGCCACACTGGAAACAGCCAGGCATGATGACACACACCTTTAATCCCAGCACTTGAGATCTCATGTCTTGTTTGGGAAAGACACATGCCTTTAATCCCAGGAAGTGATGGCCAGAAGCAGAAAGGTATAGAAGACGTGAGGACCAGGAACTAGAGGCCTTTTAAGTCTTTAGGCTTTTAGCAGAAGATCAGCTGAGATCCATTCAGATGAGGACCCAGAGGCTTCCAGTTTGAGGAAACAGGATCAGCTGAGAAGTTAGCTGTGGCTTGTTCTGTCTCTCTGATCTCTCAGCAGTCACCCCAACAGCTGGTACTGAGTTTTGTTTTTTGTTTTTATTAAGAAGACCATTTAAGATTCATGCTACAGTGTTCAAGCAGACGAGAAATAACAGAGGTCCAAAGGAAAGTTATGGGGCTTTTACCTGCCCTTGCTGTTTGTGCAGAGGCTATCATATCCACCAACGTAGATGTTTTCCTCTTCTAACCCAAAGCGACTCATCCTTCAAGAGTTAATTCAGACACCCTCTAGTTTCCTGGAGATAGATGAGTCACTCCTTCACCTCTGTTTTCTAACACTTCTTTCAAGATCCCACACAGGAGTCAAATTCAGAGTTAGAACATCGGTGCAAGGACTTCTTCTTTACTGGGTACAGAGTTTTCAGTTTTGTTTTTTGTTTTTTTCCATAGCTGAGGACCGAACCCAGGGCCTTGCGCTTGCTTGGCAAGTGCTCTACCACTGAGCTAAATCCCCAACCCCCCCCCTTTTTTTTGTTTTTTGTTGTTGTTGTTTGTTGTTTGTTTTTTGAGACAGGGTTTCTCTGTGTACCTTTGTGCCTTTCCTGGAACTCACTCTGTAGCCCAGGTTGGCCTCGAACTCACAGAGATCTGCCAGCCTCTGCCTCCTGAGTGCTGGGATTAAAGGCGTGTACCACCACCGCCTGGCCAGAGTTTTCAGTTTTGCAAGATGAGGAACGGGTGACAGGCAGCAATGGTAGCATGGCCATGGGAATGACTGGGAGACCTTTCCTTGGACTAATGACACTCTTTTCTTACCTGTTTAAGAAGACTGTTGGAGACTCACTTTGCCTTTTCCAGGCCAGAGGAGCTCAGGTACCCTTGCTATGCCATCTCTGCCCAGCAGGCTCTTGTCACAACTGTAATCTACAGTTATGTGATGCCATCACTTTTCTATGACCACCATAACAAAATACCTCAGACTGGCTACATTTATTTCTTACAGTTATGGCCAAGGTGGCAGTAGCTTTGGCTTCTCCTGAGGCTTCTTTCCTTGGCATGGAGATGGTCATTCTTTTAGCATACACACATCTCTGGTGTGCTCAGAAGTTTTCATCTTATAACACAAGGCTGGAGATGTAGCTGAGTGACAGGGCACTTGCCTGGTGTGTGGCTCTGGTTTTCATCTCCAGCACACACAAAAAAGAAAAGAAAAGCAAAAAAAAACCAAAAACATGCCCGGCATATTGGATTTGGGTTCATCCTGAAGGACTTGATTGAACTTAATTGCCTCTTTCTCTCCAAACAGTCACATTCTGATATAATATGGGTTTGGACTTCAATCTATGAACGGAAGAAGGCAAACGTTGGTCACGTGGTTAGACCAGTAACAAGGTAACAGGTAGTAAACTCGGGGACCAGATCTTGGTTCTCCTTTGGGGAACTGCTATACCCTCTTCTTGTCCACTTTACCTCCAAGTCTTTACACAACAGTATTTTCTTGACTTTCAAGCCTTCCCACTCTGATCTGAAGAGGAGCATCCTGGACTAAATTTAAAGTGACCCTAAAAGTCACTCCCCACAGTAGTTTTCTTTCTTCCGTGGTACTTACTACTTTTTAATGTACAGAATGCCAGCTCCAGGAAAGGGTGGTAATGTGTTTTTAGCCACTTGGTACTCTCCAATGTCTCACTCACAGTTATGAGTAAATGTGTTTCTGTAACCACTTAACACATTATGTCTTTATTTACTCCACTGAGAAAACCTTCAGGGCTTTTAATATCCGGAATGCTTTATGAATCTCAGCTTTACCATTTCTCCAGCAGGTTGCTTAATACATGACAATGATGTGTTCCTCAGTGTTTTCACAAGGGACAGCAGCTAGCTCAAAAAAAAAAAAAAAATGACATCCACTGCATGCAAACAGCTGAGATGTTATTAGGTGTCTTCCAAAGTGTGGAACCTGAGAATGGCCTGGGGGGAAAAATGCCTTCAGGAGGTACAGTGAGCACTAAACAGGAAAGTACTAAAGCTACTGCATTTACAATTATTTACCTTAATATAGGTCTCAAGGTTTTTTACTTCTTAACAATTTACATTTGTTTGTTGTGAGTTGTGGGCATGTGTGAAGTCAGAGGACAACTTCTGTCCTTCCATCATGTGGATCCCTGGGGTCAAACTCGGGTCCTCAGGCTTGGCAGCAAATGTCTTCACCCACTAAAGCATCCCAGGCCCCTTCACAAGTTCTTTGCCGCCTTTCCTTGCATACAGCCCTTGCTAGTTCCTGTTATTCTTCCTGTTTAACAGGGGGAATCCTTCAGCCCCAGAGACGCACAGCCAACAGGTGCGTGTATATATCAGGTGCATGTATATATTTACCAGTCCTCCATGGTTTTCCGCGTGGCGGTGCAACCGCGCAGCATCACTCTCAACCCTGGGTTTGTGGGCACCTCTTTCACCCTGTGACTAGACTAAAACAGCGACAGCAGCGGCTCAGGGCTACGGGGAGTTCTAGAAAACGAGCCACATAGGGAGCCAACCAGTCGTGTTTCTAAAACTTTTAAACTCTGGCAGCAACCTCATAGGCTTATCAGCAAGGATCCTACAGACAAGGCGGTTAGGGGGTCTCGGGAGTAGCGGAGGCGACCCGAGGCCCCGCTCACAGCTCCAGCGACCTCCCCTTAATCTGCCTTCCTGAGGTAAACCCTCGGACCCTGCATCGCAGTCGCCCCCCACCCCCCGGAGCAGCGGGAGTTTTTACCAAGCTTCTTGGGGAGAGACGCGCTCCCAGAGGAGCAGAAGGTTGAGAAGCTAGAGGATCCCAGGAGCTCTAGGCACGTGGGCGGGGCAAAACCAGGTGCTGGGGCGGGGCAACGCCACGGGGTGGGGCTAATCGGGGGCGGGGCAGGGAGGTGAGGTGGGGCTAAAGCTGCGGCGAGTGAAGGCGACGTGGCGAGGGGCGGGGCACGTCTAGTGCGACGTCACGCTGAGCGCAAGCGCGGTGGCGCGGCTAGCTTCCGGAACTCTACCCAACATGGCGTCTGAGCGCAAGACTAAGTTATCCAAGAACCTGCTGCGCATGAAGGTGCGGGGGTCGGGGGTTGCTGGGGAGTCGGACGGGGCGGCTGAGCTCCGAGATGTCCCGCAGTGACTCGGGCCGAGGCGACGGGCAGACTGGACCCCAGATTGGCCCTGGACGGCCGCGGCAAGCGTACCCATTCATTCGCTCAGCCCGCGTGCCACTGGGCACTGGGGGTGAGATTGTGATTAGGCAGACTCGCCTGAAGCCCGAAACCGTTGTGGGGACCGAGCTTGCACAAACATAAGAACCTGCAGTGTTGACTGCGGTGACTGCTGAAGTGTCAGCGCCGCCTGGGAACTTAGGCTTCTCGCGAGAAGTGGTCCTTAAGAAACAACGTGAGAGGAAGTCCGGTAGTGTCCTAAACTAGTCCCAGAGGGAGAAAAGAAAATCACGGACATTTCCAAGAACAAAAGGTAGCGCGGACATCTGAAAGACAAGGAGCATAAAACTAGTCTGGAAAAATGAGTTAGTGGTCACGACATCCAAGGAATTTTGTGAGCCAGATTGAAGTTTTGCTCCCCGTTATCTCATGAGCAGTAGGAAACTGTTAGCCTGGCAACAGTCTCGTGAATTGTAACTTTTCAAGGCTACTTTAACTGTACTGTGGATAGTTAGAGAGAGGCCCAGCCCTACAACACATAAACTTACAGTCAGAAAGACCAGCTAAAAGGTCCTGTGTTCTGGATGAAGATTGTCATTGTGGTGGGAATGGAGAAAATTTTAAGTGAGGTAAAATGAGTTGTCCATCAACATTTAAACAAAATCAGTTTTTTAAAAGGTTTATGCTTATTTTTTCTTTATGTATGCCTATATGTCTGTAATATACACCATGTGTGTTCAGGTGCCCATGAAGGCCAGAAGAAAGTGTTGGAGCCCCAGAAACCAGAGTTGTAAGCTGCCAGGTGTGGGTGCCGGGACCTCCGCAAGAGCCAGAAGTGCTCCTAGTGGCTGAGCAACTATCCAGCCCCATGCCATGATTTTTAAATTCAAAACTGAACCAGTTTGAACCAGTAGAAGTGACTTGGTGGGATACATTTGTATCCTAGTCAGCTGCTTAGCAAGTTTGTGACCAGCTTGGACGAAAGTGTCAAAAAGACAACAACAACAAAAAAACTCTGAATCAACCTAACTACAATCTGAAAAGGAGAGTGAGGTTAAAAGCAGACGAAATGAACACAAATTAAGATGGGGGAAGCTAAATCTTGAAAGTTAATACTAATAGAAATATTTACAGTCCTTCCTGTATTCAGACATTGTTCTTGTTTCATCTATAATAGACCACTTTTTTTTTTTTTTTTTTTTTTTGGTTTTTCGAGACAGGGTTTCTCTGTGTAGCTTTGCGCCTTTCCTGGAACTCACTTGGTAGCCCAGGCTGGCCTCGAACTCACAGAGATCCGCCTGGCTCTGCCTCCCGAGTGCTGGGATTAAAGGCGTGCGCCACCACCGCCCGACTATAATAGACCACTTAACTCACACAGTAACATTTGAAGTAGCCACAGTCATTATCTCTGATGACCCCTGAGGTATCTGAAACAGAAGTAACAGCTAAAAAGACTGGTCATGGGGGTCCAGGGCCTTCGCTTGTAATGCGTAGTCTCTTCTACCTGTCATTGAACACACAGGTGGCGCTTGACTTAAGCATCTCACTCAACAGTATTATAAAAATGTGTTTAACACAGCTGCCCTACCTATGAAACAGTATAGTTTAGGCACACAGTCCACTGTAGAGTTTCTCTCGTTTACCCCTAAGATGATGTGGCTTTCTGGGAGTGGTGGTCCATTGCCCCCACCACAGTAGAGTCTCCCGTTACTTATAACTAGCACAGGAAAAGATCAGAAGTCAAAGTACTGTTTCTGATGGGTGATATCAGATCCCCACCATCTTAAAGGTAGTTCATTAAGCTAACCTTTTTAAGGTGTGGGCTGTCGGTGCTTATGGTGAGGCTCAAACTTAAGAGAATGGTGGCATCTCCAAGAAAAGGAAATAAGGTATGAATGAGTTTTACTGTATTGAGGGTCAGGAAGTAAGCATTCCCTCCAAGCTTTGAATGCAGTTGAGTTGGAGTGCGGCTAGGAGTAAGCAGGATGAGGAAGGAGGGTGGGCAAGTTGCCCCTAATTTAGTTTGGGGAGTACTTCTTTTTGTACATGAGCAAAAGTTGAGTCTTCACCAGTTTTAGCTATTTGTAATCATACTGATTGCAGAGAAAGGGAGTGGACCTGGGGAGCACTGAATAGTCTTAGCTCTTGGAATGAGCCAAATGAGCGTGTGCTAAGCAGTCAGGGTAGACACTAAAGATTTGCCTTTAAATTTTTTAAATTTTAATTAAAGCAGTTATTTTCCCTCACCCAAGTGAGCAAGATCCAACTGGACGTGACAGGTGTGTGGGAGGGTATTACCCATGTTCTGTTTGCCTTAGCAGCCATATTGACAGAGACCTTGCTGGTGGGACGGGAGGTACTATGCACAGCTAGAGCGGTGTGAACTGGGAGAAGGCATGGAGCAGAGATGCTTAGGGCAGTCACAGGCAGTGTGGCTGTGCAAGTATGAGAACATTGAACATTTAATCCTGACTCACTTGTTTTCAGTATTTATTTTAATTATTTTATGTGGGTGGGTGTTTTGCCTGTGTGTATGTCTGCACCACATGAGTGCCTGGTGCCGAAGGAAGCCAGAACAGGATGTCAGGTCCCCTTGAACTGGAGTTACAGAGGGTTGTGAGCACCAGTGTAGGTGTTAGGAGTCGAACCTGTCTCCTCTGGAAGAGCAGCCAGTGCTCTGAATCACTGCACCATCTTTTCTGTCCTTTTTTATTACATTTCTTTTGTGTGTGCCATGGCACATGTGGACAGCTTACCAGTATTGTTTCTCCTTCTACCAAGTGGGTCCTGAGGATCAACTCAGGTTGTCAGCTTTGGCAACAAGTGCCTTTAGCCACTAAGCCATCTTGCCAGGCCCGTCAGTATTGAATTCCTTTGGCTGGGGCAGCTATTTAGGATGGAGATACTTCTAGTGGGAGAAAAGGATGTGGGTAGAAGGTTTGCCAGGGTGGTGGTTTGGATAGATAAGGTTCTTTTCTGGACCTTAGAACGGGGCTTGGTGTGCTTTGTAAAGGGCAAGATAGTGAATATTCTAGGCTTGTAGGCCAGTCAGGACCCATAGCACTACTGAGCTCTGGACCCTCAGTTTTGAGTGAGGTGAGTGAAATTGCTAGTTTTAGAGTGTGTCCTGAGATGCTGTAGAATCAAAATTGAACTTCTTCCTAAACCTCAATGTAGCCATAAGTTTTCTCAGATCCTGCCCTGCCCCGTGGTCCCTCAACCACTTAATAAAATATTCATTCAGAGGTTTAATATTATTTACAAACTGTATGGCCTATGGCAGGCTTCTTGCTAGCTTACTCTTTTATTTTAAATTAACCCATTTCTCTTAATCTATGTTTTGCCACGTGGCTGTGGCTGGTCTATTGGCATCTTGCTTCTTGGGTGGTAGCTAGGCATCTGTCTCTCCTCTCCTTTCTTCTCTCTCTATATCTGCTTGGATTTCCCGCCTGCCTCTAAGCTGCCTTGCCATAGGCCAGTTCAGCTTTATCTGTCAACCAGTCAGAGCAACACATATTCACAGCATACAGAAAGAAATCCCATAGCACCTCAATGTACTTTCTTCACAGCCATAGTGTGTTCCATCCCCTCTATCCAGTGTAGATATGTGTGACTATCTGTGTGCCTTAAAGCTTCTGCTGAGAAGAAATGGGAGATACAGGGCAGTTAGGATTACACCAAGAATGTAAGGGGCAACATGGGCACCTGTACTTTGAACCACAAGGGAGTCTGGAAAGCCGAAACAAACCCAGGTTCATTGGTATGCAGAGGACTGTTGCTGAACTTGTCTGCCGGGTGGCCTGTGTACCCACGGTGCAGATGAGCAGGGTGCTGATGCTGGCTTGGTTTTGTTTTGATAGTTCATGCAAAGGGGCCTGGACTCGGAAACCAAGAAACAACTGGAGGAGGAGGAAAAGAAGATGATCAGCGATGAGCACTGGTACCTGGATCTGCCAGAGTTCAAGGAGAAAGAGTAGGTTTGCTGGGGTGTGTAACCACGGGTCGGGAAGCCCTGTGGAGCTGACTCATCCTTCTAGTGCAGCGCTTTCTGTTCTTCTAAAAACCGTTAACCTGTCTGTTCCACGTGGACTCAAACGAAGGCCCCAAGGTGGGTTGTACGTTAGGCCTCCCCAGCTCAGTTTCTGTAACAGTCCTTTGGCAGGCCCGGGATGTTTGTTTTTATCAGTATTACACTGAATGCCATTCATGTCACAAACATTGCTACATTGGTAGTCTGTCCTAAGCTAAGCCTGTCCTATTACCTTAGTTAACAAATACTCACAGAAACCCAGGAGTACCCAGCATCATGTGTTCGCTTTGCTCTTGAGGAACTGGAGTTTAAGAGGGTTGATTGCCCAGAGCCATCTGCCCGGTGGGAAGGCAGCTGGGTAATACCTGAGGCGGTTTTTCTTTCACTTCCAAGCCTGACTAATGCTTGTAAAAGTCTTGAGTCGGAGAGTGGTAGATCACCTCATCTATTTGTCTAAATCCTGGAAGTTGTGTGGCATTGTTGCTTGTTCATTTTCTTACCTCAGCATGGTTTATTATTTTATACTTTTGTCGAATGGCTGAACGTCTTACCTACAGTTACAGGAACATATACGTCTTTCCTTTTCCCCTGTTAATATGCTGTTTGGTTAGCTGTGTTCTTTTTTACTTTTCTGACTTTCTCTAGTCCTTTGGGACTGTGACGTATTCTCCTGGGAAGAGAAAGTCCAGATTCCCCAGAGTGATGAGGAGTGACTTTTTTACTCTGTGTGCTTCTTACAGGCCCAAAATATTGATCATGACGAAGGAGGTTTTTCTTTCAAGAGATAATATACGTGGGAGGGGGTTAAGCAGGGGAGGTGGCGGGGAGTAGTGTAAAGGAACCTGGAGACAGTGTGAGCAGGAGTGTGCAGAGGGACTAGCACAGGTGAGGAGCAGTCATTTAATTTTGTGTGTTGGTTGAGTTTGCACCAAGTCTTCCAGGTGTTTATCAAAGGTAGGACAGTTCTGTCTCATTTGGGATATTTATTTCTTTTCTAATACAACATACTGTTCTCAGAAAATAACTTGGATTTCCTTTCCTGGGAAAATAAGACATAAATAACTTTTCACCATTTTATTGCCATGGCGTGGAGAGAGACTGAGGCGAGAGCGTGGTGTAGGAGCTGATTCTCTGCTGGAGGGTACAGGCAGCCCGGGGGAGCCCAGATCTCTGGTTCCATTTCCTTTCCTTGCATTATTTGATGGGTTAGCATCACCCATGCTGAGTAGAAGTGATGAGAGCAGATGTCTCAGGCAAGCGCTGGCTTGTCCATTCCAGGTATGGCCTGCAGTGGGTTTTGGTCGATGCCCCTCATGAGCAGGGTTAGTTTCTTTTCCCCTTGTTGGCTAAGGGCAAGTTATATTTTTGCTTTTTAGTAAGAAACTTACATGATTATTATTTCCTGTTAAAATGTCAGGCATTACATTAATTTCTGAATATGAAAACCATTGTTTTTTTTTTTTTTTTTTTTTTAATGTTAGGAGAGAAAGAAGTCTTGCTGTGTTGGTCTTGAACTCCCAATCCTCCTGCCTGGGCTCCCTGAGTGCTGGGATTATAGACATGTGCCAGTGTGCCTGGCTCAGACATATACCCCATTTAGTCATATTTGTCTAGTTCAGTTCCATAATTTTTATTAATAGTTGTGGCTACATTCATAAAAATATAATCTATACATTGTTTATAATGTCTTTGATTTGGGCCATAGGTCAGTTGCTAAGTATTCATACCTCCTTTCTTTTCCCAGTTTGTATAAAATTGATAATAATCCATTGTTTCTTCTGGAATGCTGATCATATTTCACCAGTGAAGTGATCTGGGATCTGAAGAATTCTTATCCAGATGATTCTCAGTAAGGAATTCAGATCTGTTTTCTTTAGTAGATGAGGACTGTACTGTCTTTAAAGCAGGGTCTTACTCTGCAGCCCATGCTGGCCTCACATGCCACCCTCCTGCTCCAGCCTCCAGGTACTGGGGTCGTGGTCTTCCCGTCATGCCCATGGCAGCTGCCTGCTTCACATGGTTTTTTTCTTGATTGTAGAATTCATGTCTGGTACTTTCTTGCAGTTACCACTTAAAATTCAAGTTTCTTGATTGTTTCTTTGGCATTCATATTTTCATTGAAATTCTCAGGCATGTTTATAATACATTTATAATTAATAAACTACTTTTTTAACTAATTCCACCATCTCTGTTGATTTTCCATCAGTGAGGACTGTTTTCTGCTTCCTTGTGTGTCTAGTGATTTGTGTGTGAGGGTGAACATTGCTGAGTCTGAGTTCAGTTTTCATTAATAAAGTGTTGACTTTTGTTCCATTAGACAACTGACTGGTATGCTTGTAAGCTTACTGTTTGTTACAGTGAGTTTTCTTGTCTTTGCTCTGGCTAAATTAGCCATCTCCTAGTTTGGGTCTTCTTGCTAGGCATCATAGGGACTGATCTCTTCTCTGGCTGGACAGAACTCAAGCATCCCCCTGTTCTGTGCATGTTGTAGTGCTTGTTCAATGTATATGGCAGGATACACTTTATATCCCAGATATGGTAGGCTAGAAAATGCCCCTACCCCAAATAACAAAGACCCAAGTGTAGCTATAGTTCCTTGTCCTGCCTGGCCCACAGTCAGGACAAATCTCTCTCACCCGCCAGTCCCGCAGCCGCTCAGACCCAACCAAGTAAACACACAGAGACTTATATTATTTACAAACTGTATGGCCGTGGCAGGCTTCTTGCTAGCTGTTCTTATATCTTAAATTAACGCATTTCTATTAGTCTATAAGTTGGCACGTGGCTCGTGGCCTACCGGTACCTTACATGTTGGTACTCATGGCAGCAACTGGCAGCGTCTCTCTGCCTCAGCCTTCCTGTTCCCAGAATTCTCTTCTCTCCTTGTCCTGCTTATACTTCCTGCCTGGCTACTGGCCAATCAGTGTTTTATTTGTTAACCAATCAGAGCAACACATTTAACATACAGAACATCCCAAAGCACCCAGGGCTTCATCTCTGGAACGTGTAACCTGTGGCAAAAATGACTTGCTGCTGTGATTAAGTTAAGGATCTTTAGGTACGAGATTATTCTGGATTATTTGGGTAAATTCTAAATAAAAATTGTGTTTTCTGGCATGCTAGTCTGGTTTTCATTGCTGTAGTGAAGTGCCTGAGGCTGGGTGGCCTAAGGAGGAGAGAGTGTTATTTAGCTCACAGTTCTGGAGCATCAAGGGCATGACATTGGTATCAGCTCAGCTCTATCAGGAGCCTGGTGTGGAAGGAGTTTGTGAGTCAGGTGGCACCTTGAGTCAGGAAGCTAGAGACACAGGTCAGGCTCTGGCTCTTTTGTTATTCCCTGAATGCAGTGTCCCTGGCGACTTCCCATAGGCCCCATGTCTTAAAGGCTCCATCACCCTCACATGGCCTCACTGGAGACCAAGCCTCCACCACATAGACCCTTAGAGGACCTACCATAACACCTTGAAAGAGTCCCAGAAGTAAGAAGGCTTTGACTACAGAGGCAAAGGTTGGAGTGCTGTGTTCCCTGGCCAGTAATCCTGGCACATCACCAGCTGGAACGGCAAAAGATGATTGTCTCTGGGGGGGTGACAGTCCTGCTCCAGCCTTGGTTTGCACTTGTCTCCAGAGTGATCCGGTGTCAGTCACACGTTTATGCTGTGAGACCCTAAGTTTACAGCAGCTTAAGGTAATTACAGGGGCCACAGAACACTGCTGCCCCAGAGCACTGTCCTCCCAGGAGCACCTCTTCATTAGCTGTGGACTTACCTGTGGCTGTGCACTTACTATTCAGCCAGAGAGTCACAGAGACCTCACAGCAGGCCAGCTTCCAGAGTGTCTCTTTCTGTTGTCCTGACCCATATATTCCAGCCACCTCTGTGGTCCTGAACTGGGGTTTGCCTCTCCAGTTCAGCAAGGCTGGCCTCTGTTCTCTGTGGTCCTGAACTGGGGTTTGCCTCTCCAGTTCAGCAAGGCTGGCCTCTGTTCTCTGTGGTCCTGAACTGGGCTTTGCCTCTCCAGTTCAGCAAGGCTGGCCTCTGTTCTCTGTGGTCCTGAACTGGGGTTTGCCTTTCCAGTTCAGCAAGGCTGGCCTCTGTTCTCTGTGGTCCTGAACTGGGGTTTGCCTCTCCAGTTCACCAAGGCTGGCCTCTGTTCTCTGTGGTCCTGAACAGGAGTTTGCCTCTCTAATTCAGCAAGGCTGGCTCTGTTCTCTGTGGTCCTGAACGGGGGTTTGCCTCTCCAGTTCAGCAAGACTGGCTCTGTTCTCCTGCTCCCAATGGCGAACTTGCTTCACTTGGCATTTCTTCACAGTTGTCACAGCCCCATGCTTTCAGTAGTTCACTGTGGAAACACTTGTGTTCAGTTTCGTCTTGTTGGCTATCGTAGTGCTAATTGAGTGTGGTTCCTCCCTCTGTGGCCTGGAATGGGAGGACGTGTGTTTGTGCTCTCCCACCCCCACCCCACCTCTGTGGTGTAAATGTTTTCTTTTCTGGCACCATGTCTGTACTAGGACATCCACAAGAGCACAGGTTCTTCCTAGCTGCTCCCCAGCCCCTGGATACACCTATGTGTGTTTATGAGCATTGGGGCTGGGGGGGGGGGGGGGCGGTGCGGGAGAGCAGGACCCCATGAAGGAGTCCAAGGCTAGGCCTATGCTGGCTTGCTGGAGAATGTGCTCACCTTGGATTTGGGTCTTGAACTTGTGACTAAAGAATCACTTAGAGACACTTAGGTCTGTTCCTGGAGCAGTTGTGCCCATAATGTCTGTGCTTTCACTTGCCACACCCACTCAGCAGCTGCAGTTTGTTCTGAAGCATCATTTCCAGTCCTGCTGGTCCAGCTTTCCTGATATCTCAAGCTCCTTCTCTGCTGAAGCATAAGCCATCAAGGCCAGTAAGCCATCAAGGCCAGTCTTCAGTCTTTGGTGTTGATAGCCACGAGCCCCACCTACTCACGCCTTCTGAGAACTGCCCAGGCCAAATGTTTCCTGCCTGCCCTGTGTTTTCATTGGCCTCCTCTCCTGAATGTTTAGTGAGCACTTGGGGTTGTACAAGAATCAGGTATTTTGCTTCTGCTTTGGAAAGTTCATCAAGAATTCTGAGGTCTTTGTGTGATATCATCATAGAGAAGTTGGAGGAAGACCTGCCTGAGCCCAGGGCTCTCATCTCCCAGTGCCTTTGCTGGCTGGCTGGATCAGCTTTTACTTCTAACCCTGGTTAGACATCTCACTGTGCTCTTGCTTGTGCCTTCTGAGACCTGGAAGATGGATTTCTATGCAGGCTTGACCTCGCTTCTGTGTTTGGTTGTAAGCAAATGCACTGTTAATACGGGTTTCTTATCCTGCTCAGGAGTTTCATCATTGAAGAGCAGAGCTTCTCACTATGTGAAGATCTTCTCTATGGAAGGATGTCGTTCAGAGGATTTAATCCTGAAGTTGAGGTATTAAATATAATTGCTTCAAATTTAAAAATTTTTTACAATTGAATTTTTTTTCCTGCCAATAATTGAGCTTCGGTCTCTCCCCACCAGGTACCATTTCTCCTCATTATATGAAAAATAACAAGTCTTGAAATATTGCCATAGCTATTTAAAGAAATTGCAGCGTGGCAGTCTGGTTTTATGGAAGAATTGAGTGGGTAATTTAATATAGCGGTGTGCAGTCCCTGATGCTGCCACTGCGTTAGCTCCAGCTCAGTCTTTTACAGGAATGTCAAGACTATTCATGCGATGCTGTTAGGAGAAGTTATTTTCCGGCATCTGTAAATGTCTTTCTTAATGGAAAAACGCTACTTAAAAATGGTATCATTTGACTTAGTAATGGACGGGTTTTAATCCAAGCTGTTAAATAGATTTTTATTTATTTATTTATTTTTTTAGTAAATCCCTTGTAAAGTCTGTTTGAGAAATGAGTGTTCACCTTGTGACTGGGCTATTGGTTAAATCTCCTGACTCAGTGTCACAGCAAAGCAGGCCTTTACTTTGTCGAATTTACAAGAACTCTGATGCCTATGTTGGGAGCCCTCCTCTGGATTGGTCCATGCAGATGTGTGGTGTAAACCTTTAGCTTCTGCCTCTTTAGCCGTGGTTCTTCAATCTGGGAGGTGACCCTGGGCCTAGGTTATATGCCGGCTGTCCTGGACGTTAAAGGATGATTGAGGCTACCCCCAAACCCCTGGCCTCCACCCTCTAAGTGCTAGTAGCTAGCACACATGCTTCCTTCAACTCAGCTGTGGTGACTAAAAGTGTCTCTGGCCATTGTCATCTGTCCCCTGGTGGGTAAAACGACCCCAGATGAGAATCACTTTTCTGAATGCCTCAGTCACCTAAGCCCACACTGAAGTTTATTTAAACATTGGAGAGGTGGGTGGGTGGAGAGAGAGAGGTGGGTGGTATTTTTGTGGAGGAAATGCATGTGGAATGTACATTATAATCAAAGTGTTAGAGTTCATACAACCCTGTTTGGGTGTAGTACCCATCTTCTCTGCCCCAGCCTCCTTCACGCTTTAATGTGAGGCAAAAGGAAAGAAACATTTGGGGTTTAAGAATCTGTTGTTCACAGAGTGGGGCTTAGGTGGGCAAGCCCCCCCCCCCCAGTGCCTCCTCAGTGGGAAAGTTGAGGTGTAACACCTAAGAAAATGGCCGGTCACTGGGCTCACCAGGAAGTGAGTCAGCCCCTCTTCTCTCAGCGGAGGTTTCTATCAGTCTTATAAGTGTTCCTTAGCCTCCCTTTGTTATAAGGAAACCACTGTTGCGAGGTTTGTCAGAAAACCAGTCAGGAGTAGGGGAGTGTGAGAGGGAGATGGAGGAGGAGTGCTCAGGGACATCATGAGATGCACTGTCCTCTTTGAAGTGGGGGCCTCTGCTTTTTCACCTGTTCTTCCCCTCCCACTGTTAGCCTTGTGCCCCTTTAATAGGAGTGACAGGAAGGGGGTGTGATCTAAATGACACTCACCTGACGCTGACCCAGCTGTTCTTAGGCTCCCAGCCGGTGCTGTTGGCAGCCGTGACGTGAAGTTCTCACAGTCTCACAAGGGGTTCTGTGACTGAGTTTCTGTCAGAAGACAGCCTGACACCAAGCCTCCCTGATGGCCCGCACTGGTGTGTTTGTTTTTCAGAAGTTAATGCTTCAGATGAATTCTAAGAACAAAGCCGCGGCAGAAGAAGAGGAGACAGTGGAGGTGGATGTGTCGGATGAAGAGATGGCGAGGAGGTAACCGTGCTCTAGGAGCTGTTGGAGACTCCCGGTGCTCTGACAGCATGGGCTATGGAGCTTTAAACCTAGTGCGGGGTGGGGGGGGGGGGGGTGCGGGGTGGGGGGGTGCGGGGTGGGGTTGCACGCTGCTCCTAATGGCCCAGTGGCTTCTTGCTGGGCACACTGGCCAGGAAGGCTCCCTTCCAGCAAGTGTACTCAGTGTGTCTGGGGGATGCAGAAACAAAACCAGCCGAGAATTTAATCATCCTTAGCCAGCTGTGTGGATTTTTAAATCGCGCAATCTCTTTTTATCATAAATTTTGTTTTCTTACTGTATTTGGCTTGGTGTTTTCAGCATGCCTTGATTCCTACTTTTTTATTTGAAATTAAATTTGTGCTGCTATCATCCTAACAGATATGAGACTTTGGTGGGAACAATTGGAAAAAAGTTTGCCAAGAAGAGGGACCGAGCCAATTACGAAGAAGATGAAAATGGAAATATAAAACCCATTAAAACAAAGAAGATGTTCTTAAAGCCCCAAGATTAAAATGGATGCCTCGGATACACAGATGCCTGTGAGCACAGCGGGTTTGAGGTCCTCCCCATGGCGTCTGTAGGGGTTAATGCTCCATCCAGTGTTACCTGTAAGGAGTGTGCTGTTGTTGAGACAGATGTGTAGTGGATGTTATACATCCTTTCAGTGGCATTCTTCAGGGTCTTCAATGTGTGGGCACATGCCGCTCCTGTTTGACCTGGGTTTGATCTGTGTGTGTGTACACACCGACAGGACACATGTGAACAGCTCTCTCTCACTGTCCTGGAATGACTGTTGTAACCTCATTATTGCCATTGTTTCAGCTGCCCTTATATTTATAGTTTACTTTTTTTAATCATGTCAAGCCAATTCATCCATTCACTTTGGAATCAAATATTAGAGAACTTCCCAGAAGTGATTGATCAGGAGCAGACATGTCTCTCTAACCTGAAATGTCTATATGCTGCCGGGTCTTTCTCGTCTGCAGAGGTGTGGTTTTTGATTATTCAAAGCAGTCAATTGGGTTGTTTTTCTAACATTCTGTAATAAACTTCTGTTTTTGTATACCTTTCTGGTTTTTTTACACTTTGAAACAATTTTAGTCTTACTTAGTGATACAACCTTATGCAAATAATAACTTATGAGGACTAACCATTAATTAAGACTGTACTGATATGTAAGATTGAAACAAAAGGTTTCCTTGTGTCAGTCAAGAACAGTTACCAGTTTCTTAGGGTACAGCTCGATAGAATTGAGCACTGACTAGACCCCATTCTAAGTACATCAGCACATGGAATTGTCTGTCTGTGTGGAGATGCCTGCTGAGATTTCTGACCATTACCAGTAAAGGACTTGCCTTTCTCTGGATCCCTGTAGTCTACAACTGTTGTGACCTCAGCACTGTGAGTTAAGTTATGTGTTGACTTTGCCATCCAGTCAAGAATACTCAGGTAGGCCTGTTACCAAAGAGGTATAGTGAGTCCCCTAGAAACTGACCCTAAACCAGCTGGGATTCTGCTCACTTTAAAGATACTTTCTGTACAGCAGACATTTGCAGTTTATTAAGTAGAAATAAAGATGAATTTCTTTCAGGAGTGGGCTGAGTTATATTTAGAAGCATTGTTTGTATGTCAGCCATGTGATCCAGGGTTGAACTGAGGCAGATACTGAGCTATGCCTTTCCAAATTCAAATTTGCCCTCTGTATATGGTAGTCCTTAGATATGGGGGAAGGCTCTGTTTTAGGAATTCTGGAGAATATCATGTGTGAGAATGCATAAGCACCTAATAGACAGTGGTACAGTGTGTGCACCATCCCCAGATTAAAAACAGTGCTGACTCCAATACAGATGTAAAAATCATCCTTATGCTGTGTTGTTTGAGGCATAACGAGAAAGTCAACACCTTTGACACAGGGGCAACTTTATCCCTGAGTTGTTGGCTTGTTTGGAGACAAGGCCTGCTATGTAAACCTGACTGGCCTGCAACTTGCTGTGGAAACTGGGCTGGCTTCAAACTCACAAAGGTCTGGCTGCCTCTTCTTCCCCAATGCTGGGATTAAAAGTGGGGCCACCACACTCAACTTCCCTGAATATTTCTCACCTCTGTTGGGTCACAGGTACTGATCCCATGGGTACAGGGGTCCAGTCATAACCTGCCTCTGGCATTTGCTTGGGGCTGACCAAGGTTCATTTCTCCAATGCCCACCAGCTTCTTTCTGGGGTGCCTGAGTAGAGATAAAAGGGAAGACCAGAGGAGATCAGAGTCCTTCCACATGCGTCCTTGATGTTCCTATTCCTTCATCCTGGTTGTTGACACCAGTGTTGGGAACCAGTGTAGTGTTCCCAACACTTACCAGAACAGCCCAGAGCGTCCCTTCAGAGAAGGGCTCTGGCAGCCTATCCCAGTGCACCAACCAAAGAGAAGAAGTGGGAAAGAGCAGAAAACAGAGATTGATTCAGTGTGTCCACATTGAGAAGGGACTGGGTAAAGAAAGGGATCCAATCCAGTGACTCCTAGTATCTTTGAGGTACTGATAGGAGCTAGGTTTCAATAGCAAGAATCAGGGCAGGGCAAAGGGCCTGTGTAGTTAAGCACTCTGAGTCAAGGTGTTCTCTTGGATCCAGAGTTCTTGCTGCTCTCATGTAAGGGAGTTGTAGTGGTTCTTACAACATGATCACTTCTGCTCCAGGGTGCAGCCTCACCATCATGGAGAATTGAACTCATTTTGGGTGGGGACCAGACTGCTGTCTTTGTACTTTGTACTGATGTCTGGAAATCGAAGGTGACTTGCCGGTTTAAGATAATGACCTACCTTGGTGTCTCAGCTTTAACAGGAATGAGATAGGTTTAGGCAGACAGACACTGAATGCTTCATGTATCTCTACACAGTCAAGCAGGAGCCTGAGCCTCAAAGAGACAGGCGGAAACGAAGGCAAAGACACCATCTTTGTCTTGCTTTTAGTCCCCTGGGGGGCTCACGTGATTTTTAGCAGAGGCAGTTTCAAGTGCTTGTTACAGCACCCCCAGCATCCAGTTCCCACTCTGACGTCTGCCCGGTACCATGGCCCACAGCACCCAATTCAACACCAAGCCTCTGGGTTTGACTGAACGGCATCTCATCTGATGTCAGGGTTCCAGCTGCTAAACCTCTAGACTTCCCCCCTCCTCCTGGGGGGGGGGGCAGCTTCTGGCAGGACACCTTCCTGTTATTCCTTTTTTTTTTTTTTGTACTTCAGCGCCCAATTCTTTGTTCTGAATTTCCTATTATAGTAAGGATTCTGAAGGAACTAGAACAAAATATTCCAAATTGGACTACTGATTATTTCAAGCAGAAATTCCTTAAGGACCTGCATCTTTTTGAAAGGGTGTTTGGCTTGTCTTCCTACACAACAAGCCATAAAGAATGGGCAAGAATGTCCTTTACTTGCCGATAGAAATTAACTCAATCACCAGAGAATGGGAATTGGAACTGCAGTGTCTGACGTAAACCTTTGTCATCCCAGATCTCAGTGAGGAACACCGTCTACCACAGACTCATGAACAGATACAAAACTGAGTTGGAAGCATAGCTCATTTTACTCGTGCATACACTCAGTGGCATCCCACGGGCTTCTGTCCTCCCCTTAAGATATCGCTGGGATTTATACTGCCCAACCCTAGATCCTCTCTGCCCCATATGTCATCCCTTCCAGAGTTCTTAGTCCAAGTGGTATACGAACACCATGCACTGCTCATTGCTTTGAACTCCTCTCCCTTGTGAAGATTCCGAGAGACATGCCAACTTAATGGCTATTAAGCAGGGTGATGAGGTCTTTCCAGCACTCAGGAAACAGAAGGAGGACCGTGAGTTCAATGCCAGCCTTGGTCAAAAATTAAGTACCAGGTCAACCTGAACTACACAGGGTGGCTCTGTTGAAAAGGGGGAGAAAAATATTGACTGAAAACTTAAACATGGGCCAGGGGTAGACACTATGAAGATGGACAGAATGGATTGGCCAGCCAGTCAAAGGACATTAGTATATTAGGCCTGTATTTGCTGCTGTTACCTAGCAATCCTGGCTTGGCCTCCTAAGTGCTGGGATTACAGATGTGTGCCACCATACCTGCTGTAAATACTTAGTGATGAAGAAATGAATGAGCAGCAGTCTGGATGATTTGGAAGTCTAACAGCCTACAAAACCTATGTAAGCAAGCCACAGGACTGTGCAGCAAAGACCAACCAAGCGATGAAGCAAAAGCTGCTAAGCCTGAACTTTTATCATCTCCAAACCACTTGCATTTTTGGCAGAGCCTCAGAGGCAGGCCGAGGAGTGCAAATACATTAGCATGTGAAGGGGGGCAAGGAGCAGGTGTGCCCTGTTTGGCGCTGCTTGGCATGAAGCAGCAGCGAGACTCTACTAATCAGCAGTTACCCGGGGACACCCTGTGTGAAGGATTCGAAGTGCATGTTTGTCTTTGTCTGGTGGCAAGGACAAAGATGACAGAAACTACCAGAGAAGTCCTGCCTAGCTCAAGCGACTTACTCTTGCAGCATTAGTGCTTAGCTGGTTCTCATGATCGTTGGTTTTAGTTTATAAGCAACTTCCACTAGTTTACACTAGTTTACACTCCCACCAGCCCTGAATAAGGGTTCTCTTTGCCCCACATCCTCGCCAGCATTTGTTGGCATTTACTTTCTAGAGCATAGCCATTACCACTGCCGTGAGATGGACTCTCAAAGTTTTAATTTGCATTTTCCTGGTGGCTAAGGAAGTGTAACACTTTTTCAAGTGTTGACTATGTGTATAGATTTAACGATCAGAAGGTTTATTCTTGGGGGCGTGTGTTTGTGTTTATAGCTGCATATATTCGTAACAGCTAAGAAATGGAATCGACCTAGTCGTTCACTAGTGAACAAATGGATAAAGAGAATAAGGTGCATAGACAGGGTGGAATTTCACTCAGCAGTAAGGAAATGAAGGCAGAGCATTTGCCGGAAAATGGACGGAACTGGGAGGAATCGTGTAAGATTCAGAAAGACATAAACCACATGTTTTCTCTCCTGTAGATTACAGTTCTTTCAGATGTGCAGGTAAAAGATCGTGGAGTAACAAAAACACGTGACACTGAAACAATTGGATTTGGGGGACCACTAGAGTGAGTCAGCACAGGGAGGGGTCAGGGCACAGGGAGGGGTCAGAGTGAAGAAGATCATATAGAACCAAGTGTATATGCAGGTATAATGAAACCTACTTGGTAATTCTTAAAAACTAATTTAAAAAAAAACTATTGTTTACCTTCCAAGGTTGTCAGCAGAGACAGCAGCTTGTCTTCCTGCAAACAGGAGCTACATAACAGAATGGCTGCCTGGCTTACTTACTGTGGGTCAGGGGGTAGTTTCTTGGGCAGGTGGCTGCTTGGATCAAAGGCTTGTGTTTTGTTTGTGGTTTCGTTTTGACAAAGTCAAAACTCACTATGTAGTCCATGCTAGCCTTGAACTCTTCATTCTCTTAGCACAGTCTACCTAAGTTCTGGGATTTCGGGTATGTGTCGCCACACGCAGCTTTATAATGCAATCAGGACTTTGCTCTCAGAGTCCTCTATCACTAATGCCCAGGCTTATTTCTGATTAAAATACAGCCATTTAGTCATGCCTATGTGGAGTATTCAGGGAGAGGGGAGGCCAGGGGATGATGTTAGTGTCTTCCTCAGTCACATCCAACCTCATTGACTAAGCAGCTGCAGGTCTGCAGCCTCTCCAGTGTGCAGACCATCACTGTTGAACTACCCAGCTCAAACCAGGTAAGTCAATCTAATAAACCCTCTTTTCATATATATTCTTCCATTGATTCTGATCCTCTAGAGAACCATGGCTAACACAGAAGTCTTGTTCTAACCGTGGACCAGATTCTGAAAACATAGAATTAGAACCCACGGCTGCCCATGCTGCATGAAGGGATGGTATGCAAAGCCATATTTGGCTACTGTCTTAGTTAGGGTTTCTAATGCTGCGACAAAACACTATGACCAAAAAGCAAGTTAGGGAGGAAGGGGTTTAATTGGCTTACACTTCAGCACTGCTGAAGGAGGTCAGGACTGGAACTCGAACAGGTCAGGATCCTGGAGGCAGGAGCTGATGCAGAGGCCATGGAGGGGTGCTGCTTACCGGCTTGCTCCCCATGGCTTGCTCAGCCTCCTTTCTTATAGAAAGGGCCACAGCCCAGGGATGGCACCACCCACAATAGGCTGGGCCCTCCCCATCAATCACTAATTGAGAAAACGCCTTCCAGCTGGATCTCAGGTAGGCATTTCCTCAGCTGAGGCTTCTTCCTCTGATGACTCTATAGCTGTGTCAAGTTGACACACAAAAACCACCCAGTACAGCTGACCCCTTGTCAACTTGACACACAAACACATCACTATTAAGCCACAACTCTTCCTTTCTTTCTCATCCTCAGGATCTTAAATAACTTTAAAAGTCCCACAGTCTTTACAAATTCAAACACATTAAAATTTCAGTTCCTTTAAAATAGTCAATCTCTTTAAAAATTCAGTCTTTTAAAATTCAAAGTCTCTCAACTGTGAGCTCCAGGAAAAATATGTTCTTACTTCAAGAGGGAAGAATCA